ACATTTGTCTACCAAACATTTGCTTTTCCATCTCCATATGAATTGCCTTCTTCTTTGAAGTCCCAAACCACTACCCCCAACATCCTCCTTTGCCTTTAGCTGAAGACAAAGGCTTCGGCCATTTTATCAAGTTACTTAGTTTTCCTGGGTTTCTCCCAAGTGTACATGTTATTAAACTTTATTTTATTTTCTCTTGTTATTCTCTCTCATGTCAGTTTGATTCTTAGACCGGCCATAAGAATCTAGTTTCTGCTCTAGAGTTTCCATGTTTTAAGGGTTAGGATCTAATTTATTTTTTGTTCATACAGATAACCAATGAACTCAAATTATTTAACACGTTCTTTCTCACTGCTCTGCAATGACCCTCCGTATTTCAAGTTTCCATATATCATAATTATGTTTCTGGGCTCTGCTTCTGTTACACTCGTCAAATTTGCTATCCTCACATCCCTACTACTTTACAGTAAAAAGTCTTGATATCAGGTCACACAAAATTCTTCACCTTGTTGTTTTTCCTCAGAAATCTATTGACTATACTTGATCTTTTGTTTTTCCCTATGAATTTTTAAATTAGTTTATCAAATTATCAGGAAAACCCTGTTGGTATTCTAATTACACATCCATTGATCAATATAGTAAGAAGGAGCATCTTTAGGGTATTGAGTTTTTCTCTTTATGATAGATTTCTTCATATACTTAGGTCTTTTTTATAGTTTAAAATTTTTTATGGAACTTTGACTATTTTTACCAGATATACTCCTAAGTACTTCATATTTTTCTTCATATTAAAAAGTGATATCTTTCTTAAAAATACCTTTTATAACTCTGTTACTGGAACATAAAATTCAAATGGAATTTTTATGTTGTTATCATATTCTTCTTGCTGGTTGAATTTTCCTACTGCTTCTAACAATTGATCTGAAGATTCTTTTGAATTTTACATGGAGAAAACATATCATCTGCAAATAGTGATAATTTCATTTACTCTCCTTCCATGTTTTAATTTTCCTTTTCTTTTCTAAGTGTACTTTCTACAATATAATGTTGTTGAATAGAATCAGTGAGGGTGGGATACTTTTATGTTCCTGACTTCTAAGGAAATGTTTTCGATGTTTTACTTAAATCTTTGTGAGTTTCTTTATCATGTTAAGGGATTCCTATCTTCCCCTTCTGTATTAAGAATTTTTATCACTCAATAATAGGTGTAGAATTTCACCGAGTGATTTTTTTTTTCCTTTAAGATGATCGTATATTTTTCTCCTTTAATTTCTTAATGTGAGAATTACATTAATGTTTTCTCATAGTAAACTATCTCTACAATCCTGAGGTCAACTCTTCTTTGTCTTCATTTATTATATACATTGGTGAATTTGATTTGTTTGGTATTTTGTTGAGGAATTCTATATCTATGTCCTTGAGTCAGATTGGCCTTAAGATTTCTTTCTTAATTGTTGCTCCTCAATTCTTTTTTCCAAAACTTCTTTCCCAGTGTCTTTTGACAAATATTTAAACAAACCCAAAGAGAATAACACAATGAACCTCTATGTAGTCATCACCAAGAAACAACAATCATGACCTCATGGCCTCTCATTTCCCTTTCTTTACCCCTACCACATTGGATTATTTTGAAGGAAATCCTAAACAGCATATTTCATATGTAAGTATTTTACTATGTATCTCTAAATGATAATAACACTTTAAATAATATAATTACAATACCATAATCGCACCTAAAAATAAAATAATCTCTTTACATTTTCAAATGTTCACTTTTAGTCAATTGTCTCATAATTATTTTTTCCCATTTGATTTGTTTACATCAGGATCTAAACATGATACACACATTGTGTTCAATTGATACATCTTTCAGATGTTAAGAGGGTAATATTGCTTTATGTTCTTAAATTAATTTGTTAGTGAAATAGAGTGATTTCCTAAAGTTACCCACCTCCTATGTGTTGCTGATTGTATCCCTATGTTCAAACATAAAATCTGTCTCCATCCCCTATATTTCCTGGAAATTGGTAGCTCAGTGTTAATAAGAAGTTCTCAAGCTGTTTTTATCTCAGGACACTTTTACACTCTTAAAACTAATTGAGGACTCCTCATACACCTGTCAGAATGGCTATTATCAAAAAGACAAGCAATAGCAAGTGTTGGTGAGGATGTGGAGAAAAAGAAACCCTTGTGCACTGGTGGGAATGTAAATTGGTGAAGTCACTATGGAAAACAGTATGGAGGTTCTTCAAAAAATTAAAGAGAATTACCATATGATCCAGCAATTCCACTTTTTGGTATTTATCCGGAGAAAATGAAAACACGAATTCAAAAAGATATATGCACTCCTATGTTCAGTGTAGTATTATTTACAATAGCCAAGATATGGAAACAACTTAAATGTCCATCCATTGATGAAGGGATAAAGAAGATGTGGTATATATATACAATCGAATACTACTTAGCCATAAAGAGAAAGAAATCTTGCCATTCGCAATAACATAGATGGACCTTGAGGGTATCATGCTAAGTGAAATAGGTCAGACAGAGAAAAACAAACACCATATGATTTACCTTATATGTGGAATCTAAAAACACACACAAAAAACAAATAAACAAAACAAAACTCACGTATAAAGAGAACAGATTGGTGGTTGCCAGAGGGGAAGGTGTTTGAGAACTGGTGGAAATGGGTGAAGGGAATCAAGACATACAAACTTCAGGCCGCCCCATGGTGTAGTGGTTAAGTGCATGCACTCCGCTGCTGGCGGCCCGGGTTCGGATCCTGGGCGCGCACCGAAGCACCGCTTGTCAGGCCATGCTGTGGTGGCGTCCCATATAAAGTGGAGGAAGATCGGCACAGATGTTAGCTCAGAGCCGGTCTTCCTCAGCAAAAAGAGGAGGATTGGCGTGGATGCTAGCTCAGGGCTGATCTTCCTCACAAAAAAATAAATAAATTAATTAAATAAAAATCATTTAAAAAAAAAAGAGGTACAAACTTCCAGTTATAAAATGAACAAGTCATGGGGATATAATGTACAGCATGGTTACTGCAGTCAAGAATATTGTATTGCATTGCTAAGAGAGTAGGTCTGGAAAGTTCTCATCACAAGAAAAATAATATTTTGTAACTTTGTATGATGACAGATGGTAACTAGCATTATTGTGGTGATCACTTCACAATGTATACAACTGTCAAATCATTATATTCCACACCCAACAGTAATATAATGTTATATGTCACATTTACTTTAATTTAAAAATATTACTGAGAACTCCAAAGAATTATTATTTATGAGAGTTATTTATATTTATAATACTAGATATTAAAACGGGAGTTTTTAAAAATATTTATTTACCAACTAACATATCATTTTTAAGAAAATGTCAACAAAATGCCCATATGGGATTAATAATTTTGTGTGTTAATCCATATTTCATGTAAGAAATGTGTTCCATGAAAACTGTAGATTAAAACTCTGTTACATATGCTTTTCCTAAAGACAACCATTATACTTTACTATGCAGACTTCCCATTGAATCATTGAGAATATTAAAATAAGTGTATTCAAAGTTTAAGATTTACTAAAATTAATTATCTTTACTGCTTCCTCAAGTTTATCAAGGACACTTTTAAACGAAATGCCTGTTTTGTTTCTTCCAAGTATATGGATCTGAGGAATTCAGGTGGATGCTACTGCCTTTGTCAATGCTAAGGCACCAGAGCTCTTACCCACCTTTGCTTTTACTCCATCAGCACAAGTGTCAACACAGTGAAAAAGCCAAGTAACATTTTAGTACAATTACCAAAATTACAATTTCACAGATCCCCTGCAAGGGTCTTGAAGACCCCCATAGGTCTGCAGATCACAATCTGAGAATGCCACCCTGAAGAATCCAATTGCCAGCTCAGAATTGACCTGAACTGAGGAACTTTTCTCAGTCTTCCCACATAGAGGTGGCTGGAAGGCAAGTCTGTTTATGTGCCGTGCCTTCCGATCCTGGCTTGCCTATTGACTTACAAGATTATTGCACGTGTCCTTCACACCTTGCTGCAACCTTGAAGCAGCAACTCTGAACCATTGTTCCTTCCCTTCGTTTCAAGTGTTTCTTTTACCTGAACTAATACTTTGCCCTCGCCAATAACTCCATTTTCTATAACCACTCAATTTTTAGTTATTAATTGGCTTTTATTTAATCATAAAAGACACGTTTCTAAAAAAGATATGTATGCGCATAATTACATATATACGTATGCACGTATATGCCTTCAGGAGTAAGTCTTGGTAGATTGCTGAAAAATTACACTTTGAACATTTCCTTATCTCTCCGTGCCGCAATATTTTCTAAACTGTGTAACATCAGCGTTTGTGCCAAAAGGCTACCGTCATTCTGGTAAGTTTTCAGAACAAGGTATTTAGGGAAGGCTGCTGGGAAGTTCAAACTTCACCTGTTTCTGGGGAAAGTACTGCCCTCCTAATGGGAAGGAAGCAACATTGTGGCAATTCCCAGCCTTTGCCAGGAAGAGTCTACACCCCGCAGTGCAAATCTCCTTGAACCAATGCCAAGCCCTTCCCCATGAGCCCTGCTCTGGCTCTACACTCAGCGCCCCTCCCTCAGGTCCTCTTATAAAAGCCTAGTCTTTTCTAACTTGACTAACCATCACAGATCTCTCCACTAGGTAAGTGGGAGCTGAGAGAAGGTGAAATCCATGGCAAGGGTTTTACCTCACACATTTGCGGGACGGTTAGAGGAGGATTCCAGTCTTCAGAGCACATAGGAGCATTGTGCTGGTCCTGGGAGATCTGAGGAGGAGTAACTTGTACAAATTGTCTCTCTAGTTCTTCCTAGAACTGAGAAAGGGGGTGGATGTCACCAACATCAATTTATTCCTAGGGATTAGACACAGAAAAGACAAGAGGCAAAACAGAGGGCGCTCTGCGTACCCTTTCTCTGATCACATTTCCTTTAGTGTTCTCTGCCTCCTGAAGACACAGACACGATACTGCCTCTCATGGCCCTCCGCAGCCTGTCCTGGATGCTGCTCTCCTGCCTGATGTTCCTATCTCAAATCCAAGGTGAGATTTCTTTGCCTCTAGCACTGGGTTCTCCATGAATGCTCAGGGCCAGACAGAGGAGGAAGGCTCCTGTGTGACACATGTGGTCATGGCAAGGTACATCCCCACACAATGACCTGCCTGCCATTATCACCACTCCTTCCTTCGGGGTAACAGGTGGTGGGAGGCCTCTCAGTGGTCCATTCACACTGGAATGAGATGATTTCTGATTTTCTCAGTGGACTCTAATTTACGATAGTAGGTAGAAGAGGGAAAGTATAAGGGGTTAATAGTGAGGTATGAGGAAGGAGAATGAAGGGGGGGGAATTAACATAGAAACAGTCAGCCCAGAGTGGGAGAAGGATTGACATTTGAATAAAGGGGAAGGGTAAAAGAAAAGAGATGGTCCCTCATTAAATTGGGGTGGATTCAAGATCAAGAAATTCTGAAAGTGGTGACAATGGTGGGAGGTACTCAGGAGTTTGGTGTCACTTCCCCAAGCACTGGGCTCATAGATATTCTGCAAGTTCCCTTGCCCACCACAATCTCCACTGTTCATTTCTCTCTATCCCTCTCCCGTATTTCCTTCCACCCCAGGCGAAGACTCCCAGAATGATATGCGCTCATCACGGAGCAGATGTCCCAAAGGCTCCAAGGCCTATGGCTCCCACTGCTATGCCGTGTTTACAACACCAAAATCCTGGATGAACGCAGATGTGAGTAGTTGGATTTGCAGGTAGGGGTAATAAAGGAAAGTGTATTAGAGCCAAGAGATGAGGGAGTTTCCATTCTCCAGAGTTTCTTGAGGGTGAGAATGGCCACTCTCATCTTTGCAAACATGCCCCTTCTCATCTACCTCTACCGTGCCCTTCCCCCAGTGATGTCTCAGGCTCCTCCTCAGTCTCTCCCTTTCCCACACAGATGGCCTGCCAGAAGAGGCCCTCAGGATACCTTGTGTCTGTGCTCAGTGGGGCTGAGGCATCCTTTGTGGCCTCCCTGGTCAAGAACAATGTGAACACCTACTCATATGTCTGGATTGGGCTCCATGACCCCACAGAGGTGCGACTACATTTTCTCCTCTCTGTTACCTCTTAAGCTGCTGTGGCCCTCCACGGCCCTATCCCCTGTGTCTGCCCAGGAGATGCCATAGAGAGCTCTAGAACTCAGATATCTGAGGTGATATTTGGGGGAAAAGAAGGGCCTTGAGGCCAGCTAAAGAGCTGAGTTCTGCAGTGGTCCCTAGTCTCCAGCTGAGTTAATGTGCCTCTTGGCAAGCTTTGTACACAGATCACATATGAGGTCTTATAATTCAGTTCTCTGAGCCTCTCTGAGTCTAGCACATTCTGTGCTTAGGGAATCCTAAATGAAGATAGAATGCATTTTGCTCCTATAGAACAGACATTGTCTGTGAGTATCAGAGGGTAATCACAAATGCACCAACAATTTTTTTTCAGCCAGTAACATGTTACTCCAAGTGGTTCTGTTGGTGATTATCGACTTTGGGATTTTCCAATACGAGCAAGGAGTTAGGGACAATTCTTCAAAGGAAAACTCTGGAGCAGCATCTGGATGAGCAGACAAATTGTCATGGTCTGGGGAAGGGATGAGGCATTATAGCTGAGGGGACGATGCAATGAGAACTCTAGTGACCATTCAAACTCACCTGGCACCATCCTCTACTCCATAGGGCTCTGAGCCCAACACAGGTGGATGGGAGTGGAGTAGCACTGATGTGCTGAATTACTCTGCCTGGGAGAGAGATCCCACCACCATCTCAAACCCTGGCTCCTGCGGGAGCCTGTCACGAAGCACAGGTAAGAAACAGAGGAGCTACCTCGTGCCCAGTCTTTTCCACCCCCTTATCCCCCATTTCTGGGCTTGACCTTCAGGGAATGTTCCTGAGCTGAGAAATGTAATCTTGGCTTGCCTTTTCCCGTCTTTTCTCGTCTCTCCTCTCTTTGGATCTCCCTCCCCTGGAGTGGGACTCCTGCAAAGAAAAGAGAGAGGCTTTGGATTCTAGACCAGAGTCTGGGAGGCCTCTCCATTAGGTTCTCAAGCTCCACCAGGCCCATTCGCTTTAGCTCTTTTCTCTCTCCAGGATATCTGAAATGGAAAGACTATAGCTGTGATGTGAAGTTACCCTACGTCTGCAAGTTCAAGAACTAGGAGGGCTGGGCGTCATCTGCTTGAGTCTGGTATGCAGCTCATCATGGACATGGGACCAGTGTGAAGACCCACCCAGGACAAGAATATTTTCTCCACACCACCAACCTGACCACCTCATTCTGCCCTTCCCTTCTCCTCAGCCTCCTGTCAGACTTTTTTTGTCTGTTGCATGGCCTGAGGTCTCAGAGAGCAATAAAAAAATATTTTCTTCAATGCTTGTGTGCTTTTGTGCTCCAGTCTCACAGCCAGTCTCTGAGGAAGAAGTGGGTGTGGGAGGAAATCTAGGCCTTGCCTCTGTCCAGTTTCGTCCAGTGGTCAGTTTCCCTGAGAAAATGACCAAGTGTATAACCTTACCAGGGCATTTGTGGTGAATATATAGACCCTGTTCACATAGGACTAATGTTGTATACTAGGAAGACGACGGCGTCCCACACACTCTGCTGCATATTCCTCCTGATGGTGTGACCCAAGCCGCCTTAGTGGGGTCTGATGTTATTTAGAGCAGCACTTCTGAAACCTTTTTCTGTGAAGGATCAATTTGTTTTCTTTAATTTGCAATCTACTTTGAATCATAAATTTTATAAAATATGGAAAAAAACAAATTTCTTTGACTTCTGGTTACAGTGCTGATAAGCAGAGCATTGGAAGCTGTCACTCTCTTCCTTAAAACAGATAAAAATCTGAGCAATTTGGGAACAAACAGCTTTTCTCACTCTCATCACGTATTATCTGCAGAGGTACCTGAATACGTAGAGCCCTTCTCATTTCTGCTTACTTGGAGAAGGAGCTGCTAGTACCATAAACAGTTAGGAATATTAAATGGTAATTTGGACAAAGTGCTTTGTGCTGAATGTGGGTTGGCTTTAAAATGAGAAATTCCTGTTGGCTGTCATCTTAGGGAAGTCTCTATGCTTTCATGGGTTTTACTTTCTGGAACTCCACCAGATTCTTGTGCTGAAGAGAAAATAACTATTTTGAACTCTATCCAGATAAAGACACCAAAAGAAAAGAAAACTACAAGCAATATCCATGAAATACACAGATGCAAAAATCCTTTACTAAATATTAGCCAACTGAATTCAACAGAACGTTAAAAGCATCACACGGGCCAGTCCTGTAGGCTTAGTGGTTAGAGTTCGGCACACTTCTCTTCAGCAGTCCAGCTTCAGTTACCGGGTGCAGAACTACACCACTCATCTGTCAGTAGCCATGCGGTGGTGGTGGCTCACATAGAAGAACTAGTAGGACTTACAACTAGAATATACAGCTACAGACTGGGGCTTTAGGGAGGAAATAAAAAAGAGAGTGAGAGAGGAAGATTGGCAACAGCTGTTAGCTCAGGGAGAAACTTTCCCAGTAAAAAAACAAAAAAAAAGAAATTCTTTTAAAAAAAAGTATCATACACCGTGACCAGTGGCATTTATCCCTGGGATGCAAGGATGTTTCAAGATATGCAGATAAATCAATGTGATACACCACATTAAGGAAATAAAGGACAAAAATCGTGTGATCATCTCAATAGAGATGATCTCAATAGATGGGGAAAAAATCTTCAGAATCTGTGGTACAACATAGTACCTAGAGTTAACAGTACATAAGGTATTGTGTACTTACAAATTGGTTAACAGGGTATATCTCATGTTATGCATTGTTATCACACACACACACACAAAGCCCTAACAAGAAAAGGGACATGAGGAGACTTTCAGTGGTGATGGATATATACGTACAGCCGTGGTGGTGGTGATAGTGACAGAAGTTTATACACTGTCCATACTCACTAAATTGCATACTTTAATGATGTGCAGTTTTTTGTATACCAATTATACCTATAAAACATTAAAAAAAAAAAAACAAAACAGAATATTCAGGAATTGTGGGAACACCTCTGGTGCCAGATCTTGGTTTTAACACTTTTTTCAATAAAAGGAACCAGAGCTTTTTGAAGAAATGGTTGAGTATAAGAATGGGGTGCTACAATACATAAAATGAGCCTGGAGAAGCCTATTGTGCCAGAAAGTAAGGAAGTGACTATAAAAATAAAAACATATTGTTAAGATTGTGTCAGTGAGACACAAAAGCCAACTGAAAGAGCTCCCAATGGCCAGAGCTGGAATTATTTGAGCCACAAAATAAAGGAACATTGGATTATGACCCAAAGTATAATGCAAATATGCATGCATCAATATGGTAATAATATATATACTTATTTATATTTTAATTAATATATATTTTTATATGATTTAATTAATATGTGAATATTTAAATTTGCTAATGAACAAAGACCAACCTCCCATGTAGAAAAATCCCAAATAACTTGTGGGGCTCCTCCACATTTGAGGAGAGGGAGCATAACTTCCAACACTAAGCGGGCTGTGCGTAGTGACTTCTTCCCAAGAGTAAAACATGGAAAAGGGGGAAAAAAGAGTAACTTATAGTGGAGAAAGCTCAAAAACACTACATCAGCCAGATGATCCAGACCAAAAGCAACCATGATAAGTCTTGTTGATGGTAGATATCTTTGATACAGTACGATGAGAATGACATTTTACCTCTGTGATCGTCCTCCCCAAAATACATAACCCCATTTCAGTCATGAGAATAAAATAACAGACAAATTCCAATAAAAGAGTATTATTCAAAATACCTAGTCAGTATTTTTCAAAAATGTCAAGGTTACCAAAAAACAAGGAAAATCTAAGGGACATGAGGTGAAAAATAAAGAAATTCAAATAAAGTGTGAGTTTTAGTTAATACAATGCATCAACATGGCTCATTAATTGTCACAAGTACTATACTAATGTAAGACAGTAATCATAGGGACCCTGGGTACAGGGTGTAGGGTAAGACCCTGTATTACCATTGCAATAATTCTGTACATCTAAACTATTCTAAAAATTAAGGTCTTTTTAAAAAAATGAATTACTAAAAATGAAAGATAAAACAAAAACACATATATTACAAGTCAGTTTTTAAAATTTTAAATTCCGAAGGCAAAACTAACCTGTTCAACACAGTAAAATTTTCTTAAATCTTCCTCTTGATTTCTCACCTTACCTCACCATAGACAAGGTGACTATCAGCTTGAGACCAGCACCACTTCATGGACCACATGATCAGTTCCTCATCCTTATAGGAGCTGCATGGAATCACTTTCCTGAGTACTTGCAAGAAAGGGCCTCGGTGGGTTCTCTGTCCTGCTTCCTGGAAACACATTCTGGCCTCAATTAGGACTGGAGTTGGGCGGACTTACTATCTGGCTAGATTTCTATTACTGCTTCTCAAATGACTGAAACACTGAATAAATGATGATTTCTTTGAAAAGCACCATGGACGTGAGTGAAGGACACGATTTTCATTGAATCTAAATACTTTTGGACCATCACACAGCTAACCACCTGACTGTCATCACCTTCCCAGCCTCACACCTCGTGTGAAAATAAAGCACTTGGTTTATTTCATCACCTGAAAGGGCGATGGGAGCTTGCGCCAAATCTTTTCTATGGGGCTAGAGCAACTCAGTATTGCTACCTAGGTAGAGTTGCCGGATAAAATACAGGACTCCTAGCTAAATTTGAATCTCAGATACACAATAGGTACTTTCTTAGTATAAGTATATGCCAAATATTACATCTTTGCTCAATTTGGCAGATATTGCATATTTGCCATATTTGTTGATACTACATGTGGAGCTTTACATTCTCAAATGAATAGATGAGAATAATGGACAATACCTATTTTCTTAATTGATGTTTGACAAATGTCCTATACCCTTTCTAAGATAGGCTGCCTATCTTCAGAGAGGGAGGACCACCAATTACATCTGAAACTTAACTACAAGCACATTCAATTTTTTTGCTAGAGAATGTTTTTCTATTATTATCCGTCAGAGTTAGGGAGCATCTTCTCTTTATTCTCTAAAAGAGCTTGTATAAGATTGGAAATATATGTTTCTTGATTTGGTAGAACTCTTCGAAAAAATTTCTTGACATAAAGTGTTCCTTGTGAAAAGATTTTTAAATAAAGATTGCATTTCTTTAACAGTTACAGTAAAACTTTCAAGATTTTCTTAATTTTACTGCAATGAGATATCACTTCACTCCTGTCAGAAAGGTTATTATCAAAAAGATAAGAAACAACAAGTGTTGGCAAGGATGTGGAGAAGAGAGAACATGCAATGCACTGTTGGTGGGAATGTCAGTTGGTGAAGCCACTGTGGAGAACAGCATAGAGGTTCTTCAAAAAACTAAAAAGACGATTACCATATCATCCATCAATTTCACAGGAGAAATCTGAAGAAAATAACAACACTAATTTGAAAAGATATATGCACCGCTATGTTCATAGCTGCATTATTTACAATAGCCAAGATATAGAAACAACCTAAATGTCCGTCGATGAATAAATGGATAAAGAAGATGTGGTATACATATACTCTGGAATACTACTCAGCTATAAAACGAATGAAATCTTGCCATTTGTGACAAGATGGATGGAGCTTGAGGGTATTATGCTAAGTGAAACAAGTCAGAGAAAGACAGATTCTGTATGATTTCATATATATGTGGAATGTGAAAAACAAAACGAACAAACAGAACAATTTTGTGGTTGCCAGAGGGGAAGGGGATTGGAGGGTTGGAGAAGGGTGAAGGCGATCAAGAGATACAAACTTCCAATTATAAAATACATAAGTCATGGAGATGTAATGTACAGCATGGTGACTATAGCCAAGAATATTGTATTGCATATTGGAAAGTTGCTAAGAGAGTAGATTTGGGAAGTTCTCATCACAAGAAAAAAACACTTTGTAACTTTTTGTGGTGACAGATGATAACCAGAATTATTGTGGTGATCACTCTGCAATGTATGGAAATATATAAGCATTATGTTGTACATCTGAAACTAATATGATGTTATATGTCAATTCTATTGTATTTAAAAACTTAATAAGAACACCAAAGAATTTTTATTCACATGGGTTATTGATATTTTTAATACTGTATTAAAACAGTGGTTTTTAAAATATTTATTTAATAACTTACATTATCAGTGTTGAAAAAAATGTCAACAAAATGCCCATATAGGTATAATAAGTTGGTCTATCTGTCCATTTTTCAAGTAAGAAGCGTGTTCCATGAAAACTGTAGATTAAAACTCTGTTACAAATGTTT